GTATAGTTTGAGGGGTAAAATGAAATTTCAAACGAACTTTGGTGCTATGTCAACACATTTCGTCCAATTGTAGATGAGATGTGATGATATGGATCAAATTTATCAAAATTTTGAAATTTTGAGTGTAAAATTGATATCAATCGAAATTCGCGGGTCAAATTAAAAAATGCGAAAAAGTTTAATGGGCAAAATGATATATCATCTATATCCTTTAACAGTGATGCATAATGTAGAATTAAAATTATTATTATTATTATTATTATTATTATTATTATTATTATTATCATCAACGGGAAAAGGTCAAGGACCAAAAAATAACATACAATTTGGCTTGTTTTAGTCATCTTTTTATAGAGAAAATATTGGAAGTTGACTAACGAGAAACCACCATTATTCTAACTCTACCCTTTGGACCCCCACTCCAACAACCTTCCTCTGGTAGCTCCTCCTTCAGTCACCCTCCCCCAGTTCTCATCCCCTACTGCAAATCCTTTTCTTCATTGGTGACCCCCTCTCTCTTCCTCCTTGACAACCCTCATCTCCCTTGAAACTATAAAAGCATGTTTGATTAGTAGAATTATAGCATATGATTGAAATTGTTAATTCATGGACTCACAATCTTATGTTTGATTGTAAATTTTATTAATCAAATTACATGTACAACGGACATTCAATTCGACGAAATCAACAAATTTTTAACATTGAAAGGGGCTGGGATCATAATTTCGAATATGAAAGAAAAATAAAAGAAAATGAATACATAATAAACAGTTACCTCACTAATTTTTCATTAATTCATAGAATTATTAATCATTTTACTATTAATCATGTTAATCAAATAAGGCCTAAGAGAATTCGGTTCCGATTAGGAACTCTTAATAGATTTATGGACGCTAGCAAGCATGGCGGACATAGATAATAATAAAACACAACTCACTCATATACATAAAACAAAACTTGTAGAGACGTACGACCTTCAGCTCCTAAGGAATTCTCCTATTCAATGGAGAATGCGCTTCGGAGAATTTTGTGGAAGTTTTTGTAACTCTTTTGGTATTATGTGATCATGTGATGCAAATTGCGATCTGGTATCTAGGTGTGGTGCCTACTCATTTTTCTTAAATCTTTTTACACTTTTAGCATCTAATACCCCCTTAACCAGATCTGATTGAACCTTCTTTCTAAATCTTGATTGAACTTTATTTTATATCAATAAACCCTTCAAACCACCTCAAGTCTGCCCTTTATCATTCTACAAATATTGCACACAAAAGAGTCCAAATTTAGTATGGTACTGTACACATCACCCAAAACAGGCACCAAAATCATTTCCTTTCATTTCTTACCCTTACCCTTTAGTCACCCCATACAAACCTTAAAATCGTATCTTACATATTTTTACCAACTTATCAATCACATGATGTTAATTTTTTGCATTAGGACTGTAGCACTCTGCTGCTGCTGCACATTAATTTTGGACTTGGGAAGAGACTCTGTTCCATGCACTCTTCCTACAGCAAAGAAACCACCTAGTTTTTAAGATGTTCAAAACCATCTGGTTCTAGATTTCTTGGATCTTAAACATAAACTGCAAAAAAAAAATTGCTTTAATTGTTAAACTACACTCAGAAAAATTGACCAAAAAAAGGCTTTCTTGAAATTTTAAGCAGCAAGTGTGTGGTCTGTTCTCATGTTTAGAACAAATCATTCTTAATGATTGATCAAAGAAATGATATTGCTAATATTTTTGCTTTAATTGTTGGTAGGCAGCTGGATCCTTTAACCACCATGGGATGCGATACTCAACTACAGTGCCAAATTATCCTGACACACATGAGGACTTCATGCCCACTAATAAGCTTCAGAATCCTGACCTTTCTTTGAAGGACATTGTTGAGCAGGTTGACAGTAGTCATCTATACCTTTCACATTATATATTGAGTCTTACGTTTTTTTTTCTCTCTCTCTCTCTCTCTCTAATTATCCAGATTAAAGTTTTAGTCTTGTTTTTTAGTCTTTTGTTATTGATAGCTTTTGGCTTCTATGGCAGGATGTCAATGACAACCCTATGATGATTTACATGAAAGAAGTGCCTGATCTTCCTCGGTGCGGATTCGGCTCATTAGCAGTGAGAGTGTTGAAAGAATATAGTACGTGTTCTGTTGCTTCGTTTTACAACAATATTCATACATTTCCTGGTTCAGTTGAGGCCTGAGCAACTATATATTTATGTGAGCTTGAATAATTTATGCTTTTTTATGTGATCTACATGTGACTATTTGGCATGGTAGGTGGCCTCTTCTAAATTTTTGAAGTATCTGTGTTAGACACTGAGCACTTGAGTAAGGGTATACTGTCTATGATGTGTGACCAACATGCTTATTTAGAGATGCACCCATTAAGTATGGATAAGTAGTCAGGTTTACTATGCACAATACTCCCTTTATATGCATAAAATGTTGTATGTTAGTTTGTAAACTTCATTTTATCATAACAAATAAAAGAAATATTTTATAAATATGACCTCTAGCCTTGTCCTGGTGTCCTTGGATATGAATATTAGATAAATTTAACACTTGAACACATACCTTCTAAGAAGTATAGAAATGGGCATGTGGCACGAAACGGTCACAACATCGACACACTACTACAAAAATTTTCAAAAAAATAAAGGACACATCACGTGGGGGACACACGCAAAATATATAGTTTTATATATTTATTGTATGGCATATATAAGAATAAACCATTAGTATATGTCATATGTGTGAATAATCAATTCAGAGATAATAGTTTTCAAAGTCTAAAAAAGATGAGAATAGGTATGAATTTACTTTGTTTTTTATTATTATTATTGTTCGATTCCAAGTTATTTTATTCAAACTTGTAATGTGTTTTATGTGTGTTTAAACAATAGACATGTGTTTTATGTGTGTTTAAACAATAGACATGTGTTTTACAAGTGTCTGAATCGTGTCCAAGTTTTGAAAAAATTTAAAAATAGTTAGACATATTTGGATGTGTCTGACTAGTGTCATTGTCGTGTCGGTGTACACCACCTGTTTAGAAGTGTCCGTGCTTCTTGATATACCTCCACCCAAAACTTGCATTTGGTTGTTTAGTCAACTTTGTCAAAATGACATATTAAAGAGCATTTTTGTTTTTGTTTTTGGTTTTTTTTTTTTTTTTTTATGAAAAATGAATAGTTGTGAGAGATGACCATGTAGTTGGCTTAAGTTGTCTTAGGAGAGTACAAGAAGATGAGACAATGGAAGCTCTGAAAGAGGAGCAGACTGGAGCTAATTTTGTAGCTCGAATTTTATTTAGTGTCGTACTTCTTGAACTTTCAGTTGGGCCTTGCACCTTGCCGACTTGACTACGTTAAGTTGTTTGTGGCATTCTTACTGTTGATATGCTTTTTTCAGATGTTCCTTTGAGTGCTAGAAACATATTGGAAGACCCTGAGCTTAAGAATGTTGTCAAGTCATTCAGGTAACGTAGTACTTGATATCATTCTAGAACATCCATTTAGCATTGTTACACATCTAGAGAGCAGCAAGAGCCCGCTTCTCAGATATAAACACTACTAGAGAAAAGAGCATTTGACACAGAACTATTTGCGACAGTTTAAGTGTTGTCGCAAAAAATGGGTTTTTGCGATGGCACTTAATGACGTCGCGCAATTATTTTTGTTGCGACGGAAAAACTAAACCTGTGGCAAAAAGTAAGGTTATATGCGACGGTACGTTAAACGTCACAAAATTTTTCTGGTTTAAATTTTTTTTTTTTTTGCAACGCTCTTTTGGCAATCCGTCGCAAATTTTTTTTTCCTCATTCACTTGCGATGGGCCTTAATATCATTGCAAATAGTTATTCCAAAATTCGCGCCAAAATCCTCTTCCACCCTCCCTCTTTCTTGATATCTCCAAATTCTCTGTAATCTATTGGGATAAAAAAAAACAAAAAACCCTTCCTCTATCTCACTGCTCTCTCCCTTCGATACTCTACCCTAATCTCACCTAATCTCACGTAGTCTCACTGCTCTCACCCTTCCTCTCACCCAGTCGTCACTCTATCTCTGTTGCAGCGGCAACAGCAGCGTCTAGGTAACCATCTTCTTTTCTCTCGCTCTTGCTCACGCAGACCCTCCCTCTCACCCAGTCGTCGTTATGTCTCTCTTGCAGTGGCAACAACAGCGTCTGCAGCATCGTCTCTCTTGCAACGGCAACAACAGCGTCACTCTGGTTCTCCCTCCGGCATCCAGGTATAGCCTTCCTTTGCTTTCCTCTGCTCTCCTCTGGCCTTCTATCGTCTGTTTTTCCCTGCTCATCAATTCATTGAAACTCTTTTCATTAAGAATAAAACAGTTCAAGAATTTGTGTTGGTGTGTGTGTGTTTGATTTGTGCGAAAATTGATTTTGTGTTGATGTGTGTTTGATTTGTGCGAAAATTGGATGTGTGAATGAGAATAGATAGATAATTTACTCATTGACTTAGATTTATTTTCATTTTGGCAGAGTTAATATATTGTTTTTTGTTTTGTGGTACAAGAAAAACTACTATTTGAATGAGAATAGATAGATAATGCATATATAAATTAAAAGTAGGGTTAATAGTGTTCAAATTGAAACAATATATACTAAAGTGAATTTTGTATCAAACTACAAAAATATGAAATATACCCTAACGAGGGTGTGTGAAATTTAACCACAAGAGAAGAACTAGAGATAAGTGTGAAATTGAAAGAGAGTGTAATAAGGAGGGGAACAGAGGAATTACTAAAAATTGTAGTACCAAACATAAATATAAAAGAGTGTAAGGGCACTAACGTAAAAAATGAAAAAAAAAAAATTGATTTCCCTCTATGAAACCCTAGTTTTCCATCACCAGTGAAGTGTTCGGTCACCGTGTGCTGCGACATTCACGGCCAATTCCATGATTTTCTCGAGCTTTTTCACATCAGCGACAGTGCTCCGAACACTATACCTTTTCATAGGAGATTACATGTTGGTTATTAGTTGACATGGATGCTAGTTCTACTTCAAATGCTTACTGCCATCTCCAACCCTTACTCATTCTTTTTACTCAAATTGAGTAGAAAATCAAGAGTAAAAAGTTTCATTTGATATGAAACACTCCAATGGATAAACTTAAATTTGAGATGCTAGTAGTTGGAGTAAAGGAGAATTTGGAAAATCTGGGTAGATGCACTCATGCTTCAAGTTGTGATTGGATAGAAATTTGAGTAAATGAAATGAGTCTCCCTTGATTTGAGTAAAACTCAATTTGATATAGGTTTGAGTAAATTAATGGAGGAGATTTTAATGGCTTTTTACTCAAATTTAAGTTTTAGTCAATATTTGGGTAAGGGTTGGAGATGCCTAACTCATACCGTTGTGGATATGAGACTGACGTCCTCTCTATTATATGGTTGTAATGGAAGATTTTCATTATATTATCTAAGGATTGTGAAATAATTATGAGAATTTATCACTATTTTAAATCATTACAAGTAATAGAGATCTTCTATTACAACTTTGGAATGGAGAGGATCATAATTCATGGTTACGATGGGTAGTTTTTGATGAATTATGATCTTTGACCAATGATCCATGCGCAAGCAAGATTAGTTTTGGTGACTTGATAACATGTTTAGTTGAAGTATAAACTAAGTAATTTGAATGGTTTATGGTCTGTATTTTTGCGTGTATATGTTGTACGAGAGTCTGATATGGTATTTGTACAAAACTAGGAAGTTTGAATTCCACCAAAAAGCATTTTTAGACATGATGCTAAATTTAGTTAATGCAAAATGCATATAGTTAAATGGGTACGCTCCCATAGGCGCTTCCAACCTTGGAAGCCTCTATATGCCTTCACTCCCCACCCCCTCCCCTGCTCTCGTCCCTGGCCATGTGAGCCATCTCCATGTGAAATGGTTTGCCTAGATGTGCTTAGAGTACTCTTCTGCTCAGGTGTAGGAAATTCACTTGAAGTTGATATATTTATATATCTTATTTGAGGAATCGTAAGCATTATTTTTTATTGAGAAACCTCATGCAAGGATATTTATTAGTGTTTTATTTATTTATTTTCCCATCCCCTTTGAAAGGATGTCTATAAATAACAGTCAAGGAGCAATCCTTTTTTCATACCTAAATGAACTGTATGAAAGCCTTGAACTGTCCATATTTTTCACTCAAAATGTGACTCATAATTTTTGGCTGTATGATATTAAATACTGGTTCAATTCTTTAAACTTACTGTACTTTCGTTCCTGGTCTGTGTATTCATCTAAAATAATCTTCAACTATGCGTTATTAGTGGATAAATGGTTTCTTGACTTGTTACAACTATTGAAGTGACACTGTTTAACCTATCTTTTTGACGCTATTGCTGATGCTTATTCTTTTATTGGATGGATTGCTATTTTACAAACCTCAGTTTCTATAGTACCACACACTGTCCCATCTAAAGTGGATTACCATTGTTTGTATGCTTTTAAATTTCTAATCCATTTATTTTTTGCAATTAGGTAGTGTGCCTTCTAAGGAGTTACCAAATTGTTTAATCGTGCTCATGAATACATGTGGATGTTCATCCTTCCATCTCCTCTTGGCCTTTCTAGCCTGGAAATTGTAGAGCATCCGAAGACCTCTTGTAGAGAGGTTTATTGGTTATAGTTTTTTATATGAGTGATCTAAAATACGTTCTGTGGTAAAATTTCCTATTGTAGGAAAATGTATATTAGTTAGTAGGCTACCAGAGTTTTTTGTAAATAGAAGCAACTAAGGGTTACTTAGTTGTCCAAGTCCAGTTCGAGGTGTGCCAAGAGATACCCAAGCCTATTTTCAACCCGAGGTTGTCTGCTCAAGCCCAACTGAGTTAGTTAATAACTATTTTTCAAACTGGATGGCACACTAAATTGTTCAAATGGGTTCGGATGTCAACGGAACTTGACATGCACAACATACTAGGCACACATGACTTGTAGGATAAGACGGGACTCGAAACCGATTCCTGGTTTTGAATCTAGAGCTTAATTTTCCGTTAATGAAAACTTGTTACTTAATAACTCTTTTTCAAACCGGTTGCTACATTAAAATGCCCAAATGGGTTCAGATGTCAACGAAACTTGACACACACAACATATTAGCCACACATGACTTGTAGGATAAGACGAAACTCGAAACCGATTCCCGGTTTTTAATCTAGAGCCTAATTTCTGTTAGCGAAAACTTGTTACTTAATAACTCTTTTTCAAACCGGTTGACACACTAAAATGCTCAAACAGGTTCGGATGTCAACGAAACTTGACACACACAACATACTCGCCACGCATGACTTGTAGCATAAGACGGGAGTCGAAACCGATTCCCAGTTTTGAATCTAGAGCCTAATTTCCGTTAATGATAACTTATTACTTAATAACTCTTTTTCAAACAGGATGACGCGCTAAAATGCTCAAACGGGTTCGAATGTAAACGAAACATGACACGCACAACATACTAGGCACACATGACTTGTAGGAGAAGACGGGACTCGAAACCGATTCCCGGTTTTGAATCTAGAGCCTAATTTTCGTTATTGAAAACTTGTTACTTAATGACTCTTTTTCAAACCGGTTGACACACTAGAATGCTCAAACAGGTTCGGATGTCAACGAAACTTGACACGCACAACATACTAGGCACACATGACTTGTACGATAAGACGAAACTCGAAACCGATTCTCGGTTTTCAATCTAGAGCCTAATTTCCGTTAATGAAAACTTGTTACTTAATAACTCTTTTTCAAACTGGTTGACACACTAAAATGCGCAAACGGGTTCGGATGTCAACGAAACTTCACACGCACAACATACTAGGTACACGTGACTTGTAGGATAAGACGAACCTCGAAACCGATTCCCGATTTTGAATCTAGAGCCTAATTTTCGTTTATGAAAACTTGTTACTTAATAACTCTAAACTGGTTGACACACTAAAATGCTCAAACGGGTTCGGATGTCAACGAAACTTGACACGCACAACATACTAGCCACACATGACTTGTAGGATAAGACGAATCTCGAAACCGATTCTCGGTTTTGAATCTAGAGCCTAATTTCCATTTATGAAAACTTGTTACTTAATAACTCTTTTTCAAACTAGTTGACACACTAAAATGCTCAAACATGTTCGGATGTCAACAAAACTTGACACGCACAGCAGACTAGTCACACATGACTTGTAGAAGAAGACGAGACTCGAAACCGATTCCCGATTTTTAATCTATAGCCTAATTTTCATTAATGAAAACTTGTTACTTAATAACTCTTTTTCAAACCGGTTGACACACTAAAATGCTCAAACAGGTTCGGATGTCAACAAAACTTGACACACACAACATACTAGCCACACATGACTTGTAGCATAAGACGGGAGTCGAAACCGATTCCCGGTTTTGAATCTAGAGCCTAATTTCCGTTAATGAAAACTTATTACTTAAT